GTCGCATTTGGACTTGCTTCTGGTTGCGTCGCAGCTCCGCAGTTGTCCAGCAGCCAGAGTTGAGATCAGTGCGCTCAGACTGCGCGGCGCATCTCTGGTTAGGGCGCCGTGTGATTGGCCCCTGTAAAGACTGAGTATGCCCATGGGGTGTTAAAATGTTTCCTGTGGGAGAACAGCTGTGCTGTTTTAGCCATTAGTCCAGACTCCAGTCCAGACTCCATTATGGAGGTGTATACCACTATAGACTGCATTACAAATATATATTTAGTTGGTTACATGCACACAATAATCTCTCTTTAATCCACTTATTTGAGCGAACTCTTTGTTTTTTATTGTGTTTAAAGGGTTTAAAGGTGTGTTCTTCTATAGGCTATATTGAATCAACAGATGGCTTTGACCTTCACACTGAACTAATAATATTAATAATAATGAGTTTTTATCTAACCATTTTATTTTTGAGCTAAAGAAGCAGAGAAAGACTTTCCCCATTTCCCATTTATATGTGGCATGTTTTTCATTTTGGTTATACATATTGGTTTGTTTTTGTCTCTGAGGTGCCTTGTCTGCTGAGGTGAGCTTAAATGTTAAATTAAATATGTTCCCCTCCTCTGACTTGAGACTAGTCTGCAGCCTCACAGCCTTTTCTATTCACATCAGCTTGCAGCAGGACAGGGACTGTGAAATCTATATTTTTTACACTTTGCAGCAGAGGAAGACATTCAGTGAGAAACATTAAATGTTGGGGTACTCACAGTTTACAGTGAGGTTTCCTTTGTTTTGTTTTTGTTTATGAAAACAACCAACAGTCGAGTTTGTGCCTGTACTGTATGGTAAAGGCTTCCATCCACTATTTGCTATACTCTTCTTAGATGTAAACACAAACATTTGGGAGTTTACTGAAATAGTTGCTTGCCCTTAGAAACACATCAGATTTGTTTTAAATAGTGCACGCAAAATATGATTTAACCTGCCAACGCCTCCTCCCGCTAAAAACAAAACGAAAGCAAATTCAAATTGTGCATAGTCAATGCCATTGTCCTGTCAGACACTGCAATTAAAAACAGCATGGGATTAGTGGATTCATTTAAAACCTCCTGTTCAACTTGATGCTCAAGTGGCAGTTAGAAAATAGGCCTTGCAAGTGTATAGTAGTGAGCGTAATTAAAATGCACATCCAACGAAGCAAGAACAACAAAGCCAGGCCCTGCTTTCAATATAAACATGGCAGCACAAGTAGACATTTCAATGCATTTGGACTAAACATTCTGCTTAAGAAATACTGCAGGATGAGTGAATGATGTTGTTTCACAGTGTGTTCGCTGTTAAATTGGGTTTCATTCACCATCACAGCAGCTCCTCCATGTGGTCAACCCTGTGTATTAAATAAGGCATGCATATTCCTGTAAGTTACAGTGATAAAAAAAAGTGTTTACTACAGCCACTGTTATAACAAAAAGTATGTTGTATGTTGTTTGGCCACAATAACATGGTTTTGTATAAAAAGCTATACATTACACCCTTGAGACAACTTTATAAAACATCTGTCATTTAATGAGGAACGTCATAGGTGTGTAGTTTGATGAGGCTTGACATTAAACATTAGTGCTTTTTTTTTTTAAACTTCCACAGCGACATAAGATCATGTTGTTGAATTCAGCACAGCATTCGATAAAAGCTTCCCCTATGAAACTGGTTGGCAAACTTAGCACCCTGGGCTTTTACTCTGCAACGAGATGTCGGACTTCATCACAAACAGACCTCAGGCAGTATTGAATGGTTGTCACATCTCCTCGACTCTGAACACCGGAGCCCCCCAGGGCTGTGTGCTCAGACAGCCCCCTCCTGTTCACACTGTACACCTACATCTTACACCGTCCAACTGAGAAAACATCAATCTTGCAGAGGTGTGCTCTGTGAACCAACCACTAAGGGGCTGGTGATGATTTCAGAAAAAAGCAGGCTAAATACCCAGCATAATTGATATTAGTGTGAAGAGGTGAATGAGAAAAGCCCCAAAGAATATTAAAACACAATGAACAGCCTGTACAACCTGCTGCCATATGGCAAGCCATAAAAAGTGTCCCTTGTTGTCGTACCAGACCACAGAGCAGAATCTTACATCGGGCTGTTAGACTTCTCAACTCGTCCTCCACACTCCACAATAAAAAAGTGTTTTATTTATTTATTTTGGAGCATAAAGGGACTGCAAGCAACTGCAATTTTTGCCAACAAAACCTAAAAAACCTTTAACCTAATACCATGTATGTTTTTATAAAGCTAAGCTAGTGGTAGGCTCTGAGAAATTAGAGCTTTCACAAGTATATGGGGTAGCCTGCAAGGGGAAAGTAAACAGCTAGTGGGGGGCATCCCCTGTGAGAACAAAATAGCCATAAAAGCCCACATTTGGTGGTCTGTCTGATTGTAATGTTGTATATTCCATCATATACATTTAGATTTTGTTAATTGCCGACTGTAAACACTACTATAAAGGAGAAGTTCCAATCTGCAAATATTTATAAACATTTAAAACCAACTCATTATAAATATTTGTATATTGACACATCCTCTTCCCTTTGTGTAATTGATAAAGCCACATGGCTACATCGGCAGTTAGCAGGTGTATTCATAATGATAATTAAATGTGTTACACACAAAGCAGGAGACAATTCCTTACGACAGGACAACCAAAAATGTAAATCATGTCAAATGTATCATAACAAATCTTGATTATATATAGGCTATCATTGCTGGAGGTTTTAGTAGGCTACATAACCGTATAGCTAAAATATGGGGCATCTGACGATAGTTTGCTTGGTTGACGGCATACATCTTTGATTGAAATGGCAGCATGAGGCTGTGGAACATTGTGCCCATTGTGAAGGCCTGTTACTTTGACAACGTCGTATTTTTAGGATGTGCTTGTATTGCCTCCTGGATATGGCTCTGTTGTAAAATATCAGGCCATACTGAAATTCAGCACTTTCCGGGGACTTGTTAATGCAAGATACTGCGCCATATAAATTGCTGCCATTAGTGTTTTCTGACGAGGCTCTCTCGAGCAGGTGCATGATACACAATACACGCAGCAGTTATGTTTGTAAGACACCATACTGCATCGCCATGTTAATTTAAAACCGAGGGGGGGGGGGGGGGGCAATAACAGAGGTTATGTTGCAGGCGGATCATTGGGTGGGCGGTGCCCATGCTTAGATCCGGGGTGTTTCTCAATGTCAAGGAAGGATCCTTCAGAGCCACTATTTCAAGGATGCTACGTCACCGAATCCCGCCGAAGGACTGTTCCAATGTCCAGGATCCTTGGAATTCAACCGAGGACTGAGTCCTTCGTTGTGGGAAATTTCAAGGCTGCTCATGTGTATCCTCGGCGGTCTTAAAAGCCCCACAATTCATTGCGCACGGACCAATTTCCAAAATCTTTGGCGGAAAATGGCAGCAACGACGCAGTACACTTTTAAATGTAGTATGTTCAGTGGCTTAGTAAATGTGCACATGACTTTTGTTTAAAGTGTATAGTCCGTTTGAGTTTTACCTGTGTGAACGCAAACCGAACCTTCTGAAAAATGAAACAATGTAACAAACTGTCGTCTGGTGTGCACCAGAGAAGCGGACTATTAGGTTTGAATGAGACCTTAGAGCGTTTTGCACCTAAATAAATAATTTAAATGAACCTTGTTTTGACTTTGCCTCTTTTGTTGATATTTGTGGTTTATGCTACAATGTGCACCAATATGTGTAAAAAAGGTTTGCAGACATCAAGTATGATATGAATACAAATTGTATTATTGATTGGTCATGGTGATTTTATGATTTTCTTATGGCTGCTTATCCTCCAGGACTTTTTCAAGGCTGCAAACAGAAGGAGAACGTTTTATGTTAGTTTAGTGGTTCTGTCCTGGAGAGATGATCATTTTACAAAATACAGTTAGGCTACATCTTCGATCTTCGCAAATCAGTTATGAGTCTTCAAACAAATCGCGCTCAATTTAAGGCGGGGCCTCTCATATGACGCACACCTGCACACTTGCTATAGCCTGTTCAATTATTCGTTCTCCGAATGCTAGGAAGGATTCTTGCCTAGCCTCTAAAGGACCTGACTCGGAAGGACATGTCCTACCAGGAAGCGTCCTCGAGAAACACCCCCAGCCTCGGGTCTATTGGTGCATATTGATGACATCCTGCCGCCCTCTAGTGGAAAACTTAAACCAAGCCAAACTGGATGAATGAGACTTTTATTTTGAAATGTTAGCACAAATGCAGCACTTGTATCTATGATATACAGTCGTATAAATAAGCTCTCGCCCCCCTATAAACAGAGTCAAACCGATGCAAGCTCCAACATTTCAACAGGTGCACTCATCAACGTGTGTGGCCAACAGAGCAGTAAAATACACGTGACAGTATTCCTCAACGAACATTTCTGAAAACATTTACCTTTGCATACAAACTATAGGCTAGTTTAGCAAGCAGCACAACATAGACTCGAGTGAAAAACGCCCACAAACAGTTAATCTGGCCTAGCCTGTTAGGCTATGTTATGTAATAGCTGTTAATTCAGAGCAATGCACCACACTGAAAGGCAACTATACAAAATGAATTAATGTTTTTGAATAGTCATCACACAAGGTAACAAGTGTTAAATACTAGTATATAGTCATATGTTGTTAGTCATTGAGGCCTGTATGCCCCTCGGAAGTCCTTGAAGGCTTGGTGACCCTGTGACTTTGCTCCAGTATTAAGAGCACAAATGTGTAAGCGACAAGCCTCTGTCTCCATTGGTCAATGGGCGTTACTGTTCGTGAGCAAGCTGCCAAATAAGAACAAGTCCACGCAATAACTAATTTGGTTTTCCGTCTAAATTTAGTTACTTCACGTGTATTTACTGATACCAGGATGGGATGTACTTGCCCGGGACACATACAAGTACGCATCGTGACGTAATCACGATCTCTGCAGTGTGATTGGCGGGAGCCGCGTGACTTGGAGGGTTTGGCCACCGTCCTCAAATCACAGTTCTCGTGGTGTATCGCGATCAATCGGGTTATATAAATACCCAACGCCGCTGCACAATCGGCCATTTCGTCTGTGTAGGCCATCAGTCGTATAGTGCAGTCGGGGCTTATTGAGTTTACTGGTAACCTGAGAGTCACATCAAGAACATCAAGATGAATGAGACAGCGGTATCGTTTGCCAAGGACTTCTTGGCTGGTGGCATCTCCGCCGCCATCTCCAAAACAGCCGTCGCCCCAATTGAGAGAGTCAAGCTTCTCCTTCAGGTAAAACTACCACTAGCATAGCCGGCTAGCTTGTGTGCTCTTGCTAACTGCTGATAGACAAAGTTAGGCACTTTTCTCTGCCGATTGTCATCTCCTATCCACAGACACAGCTTTAAATCACCCAGTAGCATGTCATACTTTATAATGAATGAAAGTGTTGATAGTAATGGATGAAAGGACTTGAGGTCATCATGGGATGGGGAAATGACCTACACCAGCCTGTAGCTAGCGCTAGCTTCCCACGTTAACCTTAGCCGGCGTAACGTTAGCTAACAAAGGACAAACGCTATTAGAGCTACCGGGACATTGTGTACAAATGGACTGTATCAGCTCAATTTTATTAACAGCTCAACTGTTTTATAGGCAATTGAAACAAGACAGTATGTGTGTTATTTAGTACGCTTTATTCCACATTGAAGTGTTTCCGGTGGCTAATGTAAGGATGTTAGCCTGCGCTTAGCGAGATGTCTGCAGTGAGGGCCCGGGCCGCGTTAATTCAGTCGGGCCGGGTCTAGTTTTATATCCTTTATGTTAATCCTACTACAGCATTGTTTCAAAACCTTCTTATGTGTACCCTAGTTCACCGTAAGACATAACTTTGTTAATGTGGATTGATATTTTCTTTCAAATTTTAGGAAAAAACGTTTGATAGATGATCTTCAGATCAATCCTAATCATTTACCTTCTAATCCCCACTGCTGTTAAATTACACTGAATGAAGACTTTTTAAAGCAACTTTTACACGTCTAACCTGCACCAAGGTCACAACAAGGAGGCTATGTGAATGACATGCTCAACACTTGATTATCTTCCCCATTTTTAAACCCTTTCCCCCCATTTTTCATTATTCCAGGTCCAGCATGCCAGTAAGCAGATCACCGTGCACTACAAGGGAATCATGGACTGCATGGTCCGTATCCCCAAGGAACAGGGCTTCCTTTCCTTCTGGAGAGGTAACCTTGCCAATGTCATCAGATATTTCCCCACCCAGGCCCTCAACTTCGCCTTCAAAGACAAGTACAAGAACATCTTCCTTGATGGCGTTGACAAGCGCACCCAGTTCTGGAGATACTTTGCCGGTAACCTGGCTTCCGGTGGAGCCGCTGGAGCGACCTCCCTGTGCTTCGTGTACCCCCTCGACTTCGCCCGTACCCGTCTGGCTGCTGATGTTGGAAAGGCTGGGGCCACCAGAGAGTTCAACGGTCTTGGAGACTGCCTGACCAAGGTGTTCAGGTCTGATGGTCTGAAGGGTCTATACCAGGGCTTCAATGTGTCCGTGCAGGGCATCATCATCTACAGGGCTGCATACTTTGGAATCTATGACACCGCTAAGGGTACGTTGAATCCGCATTGACTTGCAGATCAGCCTTTTTGGTTGGTGACCTTCCAGATCTAATGGGGTTTCCTTTTGGGTTTACAGGTATGCTTCCAGACGACAAGAAAAACAGTATATTGGTGAGCTGGATGATTGCACAGAGTGTGACAGCGGTTGCTGGCCTGACCTCATACCCCTTCGACACTGTCCGTAGACGCATGATGATGCAGTCCGGCCGCAAAGGAGGTGAGTCTTTTAGCATTTACTGTTGTATCCATGTTACGATTGTGTATAGAAGCGTGAATACAAGTTGATGGATTAAATGCAGATTAGCAATGCAGCTTAATCTTTTTAACATGCAATGCCTGTATATCTATTAACTTGTCTTTTCTTACCTTTTTAGCTGACATCATGTACACCGGGACCATGGACTGCTGGCGTAAGATCGCAAAGAATGAGGGTAGCAACGCCTTCTTCAAGGGAGCACTGTCCAACGTGCTCAGAGGCATGGGTGGTGCCTTCGTGCTTGTGTTGTACGATGAGCTGAAGAAAGTCCTGTAAATTGTCCTATTGTCACGTCACTGTCCAATTTGGCTAAATGTAATAACTCTCCATTTCTATGGACTCTGCATTCTGCCTTATTTATGGGAACAAATCTATAGTGTCCCACCCTAGTTGTGGGCAAAGGCTGTACGTTGTGCATCTTCATTATTTTAAACGTTCCACACCCTCTTTACCACTGTCATTCCTGTTAAAGATTATCTGATACCTCCTCCTCCTCCTGTCATTCACTAGGTTTGTATGGTCCCAAGTTGAATAAACCTATTCTGGGAACAAACTATACCAACTGTGTCTTCCACTGTCATTGCATGAGAAACACTCGATACTGAATTGCTTGAAGTGGATTACACCCAACAGCTATATATACTCACGCTTATCTCTTCCTGAGCCTTCCTGGTTCGACTGCTCTCCACTGGGATTGTAAAGAACAGCACCTTAGTGTTAGCTCCTTTGAAAAAAGGCTCAACAGGCTGCTGATAGTCAGCGGGAGACAAAGCATTTAATGCTTGTTAATTTTGTGGTGATAAAAGTTACTGATCCAGGGAGATTTCTTAGATGCGTTTTCACATATTTATTCTTCAAGAACAAGCAGGGGTAATGGACTCACCTTGGGAGACATTCATTAGTCAAATATTTTAATCTGTAGGAACATTATAAAGAATCGGAATACCTTTATACCACAGTGGGGACATTTACATTGTTACAGCAGAAAAAAGCCAAAGACAGATTCATGTTGAGGAGTATTCATATTTCCTGATGGGAATTCAGGATTGAAATGCCGCAGTGCAGAGTTACACTACATGTGACCGGCTTGAGTGTTACTATCAATACTAGTAGATAGTAGAGAAACTTGCAACACACTTTATGAATGAACTGTCTCCTCAGCTGACTTCAAATATTTGCAATCCTTGATCAAGCGAGGTGAGAGATAACTGGTAAATGTTCTGCTAGATAAATACTCTACTAGTCAGATCTGCCGAGGGTGGTATTTCTAAACAGGCACGGCCTTATTACCTACAATGTCAGATGAAGGAGAAGCCCGTCAGCGAGACATTTAACCTGCGACATGTTACAGCACAAATGCGGAAGTGTCAATGTACACTCCTACGTAGCTAATCTCTACTCAGCCTGAGACACTGGAGCCTGACAGCAGGGGGCGTCCGAGGCTAATACGTGTGAGTCCCTGCCAACATTCCCCTGTAGAATGTGACACTTCACTTAAAAACAAAATGAGTACTGCTCTCTTTATAAATGATGGTTTAGAGATGACGCATAGAGTTGCATCATAAATTACACGGCACTGCATTACATCTTTCAAAAATAAGCCAACAGTCTGTTCAAACTAGTTTATTAGGCTGCAAGGAATTAATGTTGTACCTGTACACTTATTTATGTGACCGACTCAAAGATAATACATTTTCTTTGGTTGTCATTAATGATCCTGTACAAAAAATAATATTCTATTCAAAGAAATATGTATAAACAAATGTCTTTTTTTTTTAATTAGGCTGAAACTGTATTTTTGGGTTATGATGACTTAATGTGGATTTAGCCATGAATTATAACCGTTGAAAGCTATGAATAATGAAATGCTTCAGGGTAAACTAAATAACCACTGAGGAAAAAAACATATTTTCTGCAAGACAAGCTCATTTTGAATTCATAAACATTTATAATTTATTGCACCAAATAAATCTTTTAAACAGTTATTTCAAGCAAACCAGAATCAAGATTTAAGATACAATACATCTTATTTACCCCCCTTATCTCCAGAAACCCCAAGTATGTATAGCCCTTGAACTTAACCTTTACCAGAACATTTCATATTCAAAATCCACTGTGGTACATACTTACCGGCACTGTAGGATTTCAATATATTCTCAATGATAGGCAATCTTTTGTCATGCCGGTGATCATTAATTTTTGTTTATTTGTAACACGTCAGCACTCTCAATCTGAGTATCAGTATGAGCTAATATTGACTGTTCAGGTTGGCCAGTCAGTGTTAAAATAATGTATGTGCCAATACATATATCATGTGTGTGTGGTGTTATGCCGCAGCTGGACAAACCACGTCTTCCCTTCCTGGAAAATGTTTTTATTTTGTATTCAGAGTTTACACGTTGGCGGCATCAGTTTCCTCCCACACTTGTGATTGAAGTGGATTGCACTCTTGAATCGGCGGTAGACGTGAAGTGAAGTGTGACTGTGATTGTTTATTAATCATTGTCAGACTTGTAATGGACTGGCAGCTTGTCCAGGGTGTTCCCTGCCTTCTGCCCAGTGCATTCTGGGACACGGTCCAGCCTGTTGTCACTTCCAACTGTATTTGGTATCAACACACAAGCAGGCTAATATTATCCACCGGCTTCATTTGAGCTAATTCAGCCCAATTATTTGATTATAATCTATTTATGTGGTTTTATGGATTCAGTTTTGTTGGCAGAGGAGAGGTCATGCGTGGAAGCCTTATCGGTAAACCTTTTTATCGAGCAAAGGTCACGTCACGAATGATCCACCAGGTGAAAGAAAAATAAAACAGCAACAAGACTTTCTGTGAAGTACAGGAAAGTACTAGTTTTTATTCCTTCATAATCAAACTTCACAAACAGCTTGAACTTGTACAATACCTCAGAGAGTGAAAATTACAAAAAAAGTGCTGGTAACATTTACAAAAATCATCCTTACTTAGCAACAATCAGTTTATTCTTCCACACTTTTTTTAGTCTTTTGTATTAAGGCTTAATACTTCTGTATAAAGTATATGCAAGATAAGTCTTCACAGTTTTTCGAAAAAAGTCACAATATTATGTAACATAATGAAGCTTTTACGGCTATTTTCTTTATAATAACAAATACACGTCACTGGTAAATATATGTGAAATACAGGGCTTATTGTAAAATGGCAAGTAATGATACTGTTTGCTGAGATAAATTGATTCCACACACTGTTATAGGAAAGTTTTGACATACCATTGCTATAACTGAAGGAGGAGGAAAAATAAAATGATAAGCATAAACACTTGGGAGATCGCCTCCAAATTTTGGCACATCCCATGAAACAATTTCACAAAATATGAGATTTATTTTTGAAATCATACATATGGAAGAATAGCTAAACCGGCATAAAGTGAAAACATGCTGTGTAGTAAGGTGCTAAATCAGAGATATTACATTGCCAGCCTTTCCCCCCCACATGGACTGACATGGATAAGGTGCATTTGTAAGACTCAAAGCATGTAGGCCTTTCTTAGATGTCGACAAAATATGTAATAAATACAAGTTTTTAAAAACAACCTAAATTCATTTGACCAATAGTTTCGAGGCGACCTCGTTTACTCATGCGCTCCCATGGATTCAGAGAAACGGATTCCTCCCCTGCAGTTGTGTATCTCTCTAACTGTGGCATGTGAAAGTAAAAGCTGTATTGTTTTCGATGGTATGTGTTATTTGCTTCCCCCCCCGTTTTATTTTATTTGATTTGTTTTAACTGTTGAAAGTGTGACAAACTTGATGAGTAAGGAGATGGAGTTGAAAACTGAATGCGAAACTAAGCCAAGATATATTCACAAGATCCTCTAAGCTGCACTGGTTTACAGGTCAACAGACGAGAGCTCTAGCCCTAGACTTACCAATTTCACCCTCATGCATACTGTACGGTTAAAGTGACGCAACAAGCTTGCTTAAATAGTCTACATCACAAAAGCAATTTGGTTTTAGTGCAAACACAATTGGCTGGCTTCAGCTTCTCAATAATAACGAGCTCACCAAGGAGATTACAAGAAGGCACATACTTATGCTTCCTCTAACACGCAACATATTTAGACAAACCGCAACATCTTTCAACAACACCACGAAGCGGTGAAAACAGGAAAGCTACTACATCCAGATACAAATTGTGAAGTGTTGCTGTTTGTGAATTATTCAAAAATGTACACTATCAAAGAAATAATGACGTCAGAAAGGACTGCTGTTGTGAAGACCGCGTTGGAACGGGATGATACAGATTCTCTAAAGTCGCCAGTGACGCTGTGTTTGTACGACAAAAAGGTGCATTTGGATTTGTATTTCCTCTCTTACGAGTGTTTCACTTTAAAGCATTTTTTTGTAACATCCCATTAAAAAATAGCACTCAAAGTGACCGAATATGAAGACGAGTGTTTTTCAGGGAAAGGCGAGCACGACAGTGGACAGCTGGGATTAACTTTTGGTATTTGTGTTCATCTTCAAATGTGTCGTTGGATGTGTGATGAAGACAATTTGACTTGTGGGAAATCATTCCTTCCCTCATACATCCCGTCTCTCACTTTCAGAGCTGCTTGATTTGTCCAAAACAATCACAGGAGGAAACAGCAGTTGTAATGCCCCTCAAATCTGGACACTAATATTCAGGGTACTGCCGGGTAGAAAGAGAAAAAACACCCTGGTACGAACAACAATATGTGAATGTGCATGAAAAAAAGAAAGATTTCTGTACCTTTTAATACAAAAACAAATCAAAAACTTTAATCATGATTTACTCAGCATGGGCAACAACTATGGGTTCAAAAATGTGTTGGTGAATTATATTGCTTTTGATAGAAGAAGACCAAAATAAGTCTAGTGCAAATCTATTTTCTGGTTTGAGAAGTGGTGGTTAGGGTTCATGAGACTCAGCTGTCATTTCCACACTAACATACACAGTGATTCAGATTTTGGATAGCTGTCAAGTGGTATCCCTTTACGAGAAAGTACTCCTTCTTATTTAGAAAAAGGAAAGATAAATCTGTCACCGGTGGATGCCATGCAGCAATTTTGGTAGGAAACCCCTAATATTCCTATTGTATATAACCCATCACCCAATGATTGCAATTAATCAGCACAAAGGAAATGTCATATCTTCTTACATCTAAATGACTCCTATTTTGAACGGGAGGATGGCGGCCATGTTATTTAGTCCCCCCCCCCCTGTACAGCTGGGAGGATGTGCTTGTCTGTCAGCTGGCGTCTGTGCAGTTATGTCTGTCAAATACATCTCTCAACTTGGAAATGTTGGAAAACTCACTCCAGTCCAGTGTTTGACAAATCATATTATAAAAACGTCCTTGCACATACAATAAAAAACAAACAAACTTTATCCCCTCTTTCAAAACAGCAGTCAATACATTTCAAACAAGCTTGTTTCATAACAATAATAATAAAATACAAACCAACTTGGAGCATAAATTATCAAAAACAAACTGAAAACACATTACTGCAGCATATATTTCAGGGTTGCTTAGTTGTGATGTTAACTACCTTTA